GTATATATATTTATATGTGTATATATATATATATATATATATATATATATATATATATATTTATATTTATTAAATGGAAGAAAGGAAAGATTTTTGGTCTGCTAATTTTGTTTGGTTAATTTTAAAGTTAGTTTTAACAATAAAAAAATAAGTGAGTAATTTTCATAATTTTCAAATGTCTTGAAAATTAATTAATGATAATATAATATAATATAATATAGTATATAATATGCTGTATGGTTTATAATAACTTTAAAGTTTTTTAAAATTATTTTCAGTTATTTTCAAATGTCTTGAAACATAAAAAATAGTAAATATGATATATGTTATGTAGAATTGTATACATTTATGTTTTTTTTTTTATATTTAAATGTATATAAATTACTGATGTTTTTGTAATAGTGTTTGTTTCAGCGATAGCAACAAAACTTCTGATGCCAACATTTCAGAATATACATCTTAAAACAATTATGTTCATATCAAAGACCATATATTTTCTCTAAATCTTGTTCAGCCCAAGAACTTTTACTCTAAACAGTCGAGGTAAGGCCTGCTGATAAAATGTGTTTGCACACAGAGCAGCTCTATCAACGGCAGGTTGTTTCAAAGCAGCTAAAAGAAACAAAAACGGCAACTATTTATCAAATCTGCCAGCGTTTAATTGAATGTGAAACGGTGGACAGGAGCAGTCAGTCTTTTCATTGAGCTGTCGGGACATGATGAATGGAGCGAAACGTGGAAATGCCCATCTCTCCCGTGCCATTCATCAGCTCCGGCGTCACGCACACACCAGCCGCGCACGCAGATAAGGAAAGTTTATGAAGAGAATTAGTTCTGAATATGCTTCTAATGAGGCCATTATTTATTTTCAGCTGAACAGCGAAAAAAATAGATTGTTTTTAACTGACCCCCCCCGTTCCTAATGTTGTTGCATATGGAGTGCTGTAAGTGCATGTGCTGAAAATAAAATGAAAAATGGCTTCACTTAGTCTACTGTGAGCTTAAGTGTGAGTAAATGTTTTTATTGTGCTTTAATAGATATGTCTTCATCTGGATCAGTTCGATGTCTTAAAACTGTCTCTCTCTCTCTCTGCGCAGATTGAGAACCTGCAGGAGCAGCTGAAGGATAAGGAGAAGCAGATGACCAGCCTGAAGGAGCGCGTCAAATCCCTGCAGGCAGACACTTCAAACACGGACACGGCCCTCACCACGCTGGAGGAGGCCCTGGCTGAGAAGGTGGACACCCACAAACACTCACATTTATGGCCACTGAAAACTAGTTGTCTGTTATAGGGTTGTCACAATGCCAACATTTTCATTGGTATGACTCTCACCCATGGAGTGTTCAGAGCACCTGCAAGTCAGTTATACACCAGCAAATAGGATTGACGTTGCAGATATTATTGCTATTAATTATTACCTTTGTATTCATCCTTAATTTTAGTATTTTCTGGAAGTACTGATACTGTATTTTTTTTGTCATCCATACTGTAGCATTAAGGCAGGTGGAGGGGCTGACATTTGAATCTAGAGCAGTGAATAATAATTAATAACCATACCTAATATGAATGTACAACCTAATACTATTAGTAAATATGATATAAATATAACTAATTTGTTTATTATTATTATTATTATTACTACTACTATTATTATTAATACTACTACTACTAGCAGTAATAGTCATAGCATTTTCTAACTATTATTAAATTATTAAATATTATGATAATATTTCATTTAATTGTTTGTTGTCATAATGATTATTATTATTAATAGCTGTTGTAATAATACCAATTAATTATGTAAATTAGTTATTCTTATTTATATTTAACATTTTATTAATAATACACTTGTTGTTGTTTGTGTTACTATATTATTATTATTATTATTATTATTAACAACCATTAATATTCATATTTAATATTAATGCATGATCTAATACTAATAGTAAATATTATATAAATGTTGTTTATTATTGGTAGTAAAAGTAGTAGCATTTTCTAACTACAATTAAAATTCTTTTATATGTAATATGAATGTGTAATTTAACACTTTTAGTAAATATTATATTAATATTGCATTTAGTTTTTTGTTGTTGTTTGTGATCATTATTAGTAGTTGTTGTAGTAGTAGTAATTATGTAAATTATTTATTTATTATTATTTATACATTTGATTAATATTACAAAGATGTTTATTATTATTATTACTAATATTATTATCATCATCAGTACTAATAGTGCTATTATTAATAACTAAACTGGATGTGGTAGCTTGTGTTGTCTCCTTCAGAGACATGATTTCACAGGTGACGTGAACTGCAGTTGCAGAACAGCAGAAGCTGTGAGTGTGTGTGACAGCGGTGAAGATCGCTCTGTCACACACTCTTATGTAAGGACTCAGTCATTCTCACACCACGATTGACCTCCCAGCAAGCGTACGGATCCACAGGTCAATCCCCGTCACTTCTCATCAACTCTCATCTCATGTGCTATTATCTTCGCCAACACGTACACGTAGTTCACTGAACATTTCAGGTCACGGGCTTCCAGAATGATGCAGTTCTCCGAATCAACATATCCTCCCCCTCCACCACCACCTGCCCGCTGAACTCCAGCTCATGAATACGAATGAATTAACCCCGGCGGTTATTTGCATTGTCTTACACACCCGCAGTTTGGCAGCGATCTGCTGTTCTGCGTTTCCCCACTTCATCTCGCTCACATACCCTCACGCGCCGAGGTTTGGGCCTCCTGTTCCTCCCATCCGAGGGCCAGAAATTAACTTTGTCAGCCATCTGCATATTGAAAAAGAGAGTTCTGGCTCTTTTAGTGGACACACATATTCGAACACAGGCGGACACGTATGCACTTTTGCAGCAGACAGACATTTGCGGAGCATATCTGTCCTTCCCTACTTAAACACATGCAGTTTTCCATTTCACACGCCTAAGATGCCGTTCGATGCATATTGTGAACCCGGTGTGAGAGTTAGCTGGCACGGCAATGAGCGGTCATGCTTAATGTCACAGCTCAGCGAGGATCGGCCAGGAACGTCAGCTCGGGAGAGTGAAATACAGCCCTTGCGGTGAAAAATGCAGTGCGGGCCTGAAAAAGAGCAGTGTTATTATTGTCCGGTTCGGCCACTCAGTGTGTGACTTTTGGCCGGCACGGGTGTGAAAGTGCTGGAGGCTGATGCTCTCCATGATTCCAGCCGTCCTCTTTCACAGGCCATCGACTGCGCCAAAACACTCTTTCCTCAGACCTCTTATTGTCTCGCGTTGTTGCTCTGTGTGTCTCTTTTTCCTCTCTGAATTATTAAAGGTGTTTTTTTTGCCACCTTATTAAAGTGTGAGTACAATGCAGCATAGTAGCCATTCACATCAGATCCAGTCCAACTCATTTCTACTAAAGTTACTTCCATTTTCTGAAAGCAGACGCGGCCAAATCTTCCAACACCTGGCCAAAGTTGACACATGTGTGAGATTAATGTATCGTACGGCGAATGTATTCATTCAGCTATGTTCCACTAGCCGTGTAGAGTTCCGCTTAAGATGGGAATTAAGGAATTGGTGTGCCTGCGCTTTCTAAACTTTGACAGGTATTGGCCTGCTCTTGTTTTTGGGTAAATTTTACAACCCTTACATAAATCAGAATGCGAATAACCACAAATTTAATTTCATCTTTGCTTGTGCTACTTTTTATTTAATTTTTAATCTTTATATTTATTTATTTATTAGTAATAAATATTATATTTTATTCTATTTAATAATAATAATGTAATAATGATAATAATAGCTTATTGAGTTATTTATTTATTTAAAATAATACTTTTAATTTTATGTTATACTTATTAAGAACAACAATTACAATAAATAATAATAGTCATAATAATCATATTTACTTTTTATATCAATAATATTATTATTAACTTTGCTGTGAATAGGTAGTTTGTGTTAGGTTTTGGTAAATTTGAAAGGTTTGTCATTATTTACTCACCCTTATGTCGCACCAAACCTGTATGGTGGGGTTTTTCCCATGGAACACAAAAGGTGAAAGGAGCAGGGTGAAATTTACTGTAACTATTCATTGATGATCTTGCATACTATTGTATATTGTACTGTATAGAAAACTAATTTTGTGTTCCACAAAAGAAAGTCAAATGGGTTTGTAACAACATGAGGGTGAGTGAATTATTCTTTTTCTCTTTGCTTCTAAATCACATGCTTAACATGTTTTTTTTTTTGTTTGTGATATTTGTAGGAGCGTATTATCGAGCGTCTTAAGGAACAGAGGGATAGAGACGAGAGAGAGAAGAGCGAAGAACTGGACAGCAGCAAGAAAGAGCTCAAAGAGCTGAAAGAGAAAGTCAGCTTACTGCAGGGAGAGCTGTCCGATCGTGAGGTGAGCACTTGTTTTTGCATGAACAAACTAATGCTTTATTAATGCCAGTATTGTATGAAATTGATGATTTTTCTCATGCTGTTTTTGGAATGATTTTCACCCTGTAGTGACATTGGTGAAAAAATGACAGAATTACATTGTAGGAGTGAATCAAACCATATCTGGAGACCTAAATCATTTATTGTCGATAATAGTTCACCCAAAACAAAAATTTGCTGAAAACTTACTCTAAGGTCATCCAAGATGTAGATGAGTTTGTTTCTTTATCAGAACAGATTTGGAGAAATGTAGCATTACATCATTTGCTCAATAATGGATCCTCTGCAGTGAATGGGTGCCGTCAGAATGAGAGTCCAAACAGCTGATAAAAACATCACAATAATCCACACGACTGTGAAGTGAAAGGCATTCAGACTGTTACTTCTGGCTAAAATACTCTATCCATAGTATGGCTTTTTCCAGTGAAATAGTTGTCTCATCTGAATCAGGAGAGAAGTATGCACAGATCAAGAACTGTTTACAAACAAAAACAGTCCAATACAGTAGTTTTTATCAGCTGTTTGGACTCTCATTCTGACTGCGCCTATTCACTGCAGAGGATCCATTGGTGAGCAAGTGATGTAATGATAAATTTCTCCAAATCTGTTCGAATGAAGAAATAAAATCATCTGTATCTTGGATGTTCTGAGGGTGAGTACATTTTAAGCAAGTTTTCATTTTTGGGTCAACTATTCCTTTAAACTGCAATGTCATCTTGCAAACATATGCTCAGTTTTGTGTAATCTGTTTGCATATTTGTGAACAGACATTTAGGTTTGCGGTGTAAATATTGCAGTCATGAATTGTGGCCTGTACGCTCAACTAAAATCCACAACTAATCCCAACGATCCTAAACTAAATCTCTGCTAACAGGAGAACTGTAATTAAACGTAAAACTATTATTTTATGAATCAGTTGGATTTGTCTGTGAAATTTTTGCGCATATTTGCAAAAGATTAGCCTGGATTGTTTCTGTATGATTATATCTTGCATTTGTGAAAGCAAGTCTTGTTACAGGTTTTTGTACTGTGCAAACAAACATTCAACTGACCAACAAATAGCTCAGAGGTGGGCGTCCAGTCGACGTCTTGTGCAATTTTGCATTCATAATGTTAGTTCAGATGGCGGTTTCGCATTTATAATGCAGTGATCCTCTATAATGTGTCAGGTGTGGATTAAAGAGGTTGAAGCGGATCCCAGGCAGCATTAGAAGCGTCTTCTTTAGATTGCACTATTGGACGAGGTGCTCAGGCTTGATAGAGACAGACTGATTTCGTAGCCATCCACACAACCCCAGAGGAGCTGTAGTGATGAGAACAGACATGCTGGACCCGCAACACTGTCAGTCCTGCATGTGCGTGTGTGTGTGTGTGTGTGTGTGTGTGTGTGTGTGCGTGTGTGTAGGACATGAAGATAAATGGCAGATTCTAAATATGAGGGAGCGGCCCCTCCCAGAGAGCAACTTCTCATTTATCTTTCTGTCTTCAACTTCTGTCTCCTTTTTTGCCTTTTGTCTTCTATCCTTTTTCTCTATCTTCTCGCACTTTCTTGTATTTTGTCTAGCATCTCTCCAATAATAGCTCTTATGTCAGTATAAAAGGAATAGTTGATCTATAAGTAAAAGTTTGGTCATCGTTTAGTCACATCATGCCGATCCAAACCTGCCAGATTCACGAAAGGAGACATTTTAAACAATTGTATTGGTTGCTGAAGCTTTCTGAAGATTTCAAGCTTTATAAAGGACAAAAATGCACCATAAGTGGTTCATGATGTACAGGATAGTTTAAATGTTTTGCATTGCAACATTATTTTAAAGCACATTTCCTCAAATTCTTCTTACATTCCTTTTAACTTTTACTTTTTTTTTTTGTATTTTCATTAAATTATTATTATTTTTTTTTATCTATTTTATTTTTTATTTAAAGCACATTTTCTCAAAATTCTTATTGTAATGTGTCCTGCATTTTATTTTTATTTCATTTCTTGATAAATAATCTTGGTATCATTCAGACCAGTTTTGTGAACTGGATCATTTCAGTTCAAACTGGTGTGAATGATTTGAACATTCAATTCACTGACTCAATGATCCACTTCTAATGGATAAATTCTCCATCTACATTCCATGGAATAACAACAGTCATAAGGCTCTGTAGTAAATGATGACCGAATGTTCATTTTTGGTTGAACTATCCCTTTAATGACTGCATTTGCACTGTACATGTACCCCGTCTTTCCCACAGCACTGTGGCTGTTTTATTATTCAGGTTATTCTTGTTTGCTGTGATCTCTGCATTCCTCTCCGCTGTCTGCCTCTAGAACATGGGCGATGCACATCCCCACCACTAAACCACTTCCTGTCTCACCCCCATACAGTAGTTTCTTCCTCTCATCTGTAGCTTTCTCTTTCCCTTTCCATTTCCGTTTGCTTCCAAACGTCCGTAGAAATTCCATAGCGTGTGGGTGAATCTCATGAAATCATGTTTGACACCAAAATCAAAAAGAAAAATAAGAAATTATGTAATTATATTTAAATTATAAATAAAATGTTGCCAAATTTTAGGATTAAAATAATGACACAATGCAAAACACCTTAATGACAATTAGCCACACTACCCTCCACAAATTAGTATTTTTAATTGTTATTTTTTTACTGTATTACTTATTACAGTAAGTTTTTTAAGATTAATTTTTTGGTGTTTTTGTCTTTATTTATAGAGTACAATGGTATGTCAGAGCTATACTTGTTTATTTATATTTATTTATTTATTTATTTTAAGAAATACTTAATATATAGTAAATATAAATACTTTTATTCAGAAAGGACATCAAGAAATAAAAGAATAAAAATATTTTTATTTTGTTACAAATATGTTTATATATTTTATGTATCAGCTATCAAAGGAATAAACAGTTATATATTAATAATAAATCATTAACATTTGTACTGTAATTTTGATTAAATAAATGCAGCCTTTGTGAGCATAAGACTTCTTTCAAAAACATAAACATTATAAAACCATTTACATTTTGAACAGTAGTTTATATATGTGTGTGTGTGTGTGTGTGTATGTGTGTGTGTATATATATATATATATATATATATAATATTTATAATATTCGTATATATGTGTACCTGAATATTAATTTTAATTCAATTCTTGATTTTTTTTTTTTATATGCATGAACTTCCTATAAAAAACATGAACTTCCTATAAACTCTGGGCGTGAAAGTAGGATTAATTTTATTGTAGTAAAATATAATTTTATATTTATTTCTTTTGATTTTGGGGTTAAATGTGCCCCAGACATCTTAACAGATTTTATGAGATCCACCCATGTCCATTTGCTGCATGTAAAAAAGCAGAGCGTCAGTGTCCTGGATATTTGCGTTGGATCACGGCTGCTGTCCTGAGCTGCATGCAGCAGCCTCCCATCACTCAGCGTCCTGTTATATCCCTCTCCTTGGTTTTCCTGCATTGTGTTGTTCCTGAGCAGTGACCTCTTCACTCCAAGCACTTTCGGTCTCCCCTCCCGTGTGCTAATCATAAAGTGTGGAGTCCAGCACATCCCATCATTCCCCTCTCCTGTTTTCTTTACCAACGCGAGAGAACATGGGCCGGCAGTATGAACATTAAGTGTATATTTTGGTCCGTGGACTCCAGTCGAGTGTGAAATTGTGGGGCTCTCCGATTGAAAGCGGAAACGGCAGGAAAGGCCTCATAGATGGAGGGCTGCAGTTTTAACAGCGTGCCTGAGACTCTGCTTAAAAAAACAGAGAGCTGATGTACTGCATATGTGCAGAGGCCTGTACATAATAGCACACGATATTTGTAATATTACTATTGAGATGTAACCGCTACTGTAACTCTAAATCGTTCTCCTGTTTCATATTTTATCACTTTATTCCTCATAAAAGCCTTTGTGACGTTAAAGGAACAGTTCACCCAGGACTGGAGCTTTCCTTCGTCAAAAAGGATTCATTTCAAAAGCACCGTAATAGTACCATAAAGCGGTCCATGTAACTTATAGCACTATATTCAAAGCCTCCAAATGCATATGATTGCTTGGGGTGAGAAATAGACCAAAATGCAAGCTACTGTTTTACCTTCTAGTAAGGGGTGTCAGTGAGCTGTACTCAAACTGGATCATCTAATTTATGAATGAATCATTTAAAACTTGATCAAAAGATTCATTGAAAATATTTGACTCATAAGAATGATTTACTTACTTAATGATTTATTTACTTGCTCTAATAAACTCTTTATGAACTCATAATGGGGAATGTCAATATTTTCAGTGAATAACAATGAAAATTTTGGTCTGTTTGTCATATAAAACCAATGTATGATTTCAGAAGATTTAGAAAATAGTGTAGGAGACATATGAGGCACACTTATGGTGCTTTTGCATTCTTTTATAAACTGGAAAACTCTATAATCTCAATTCATTATACAGTTACACCAAAGAAAGACAATCATGCTGCTTTGGAACGACATGAGGGTGAATAAATTAGTTTTTAAATTTGAGTGAACTGTCTCTTTAAATGTTTTTGTTTCCAAACCAAGGCCAGTTTTTTGATCCAATCTGATCTGAGTGAATTAAATCCTTTTGATTGCGTGTTTGTATACAAATGTGCATTTCGAAAAGAAAAAAAAAACTGTCACATGGCAATTTTTCTTGGCTCTTCGTGCTTCCTGATGTTGAAATTGGCTCGAAACTGTCTGGCTGTGGTTCCAGTCTGCATATTTACATGTGTTTGTGCTCAGGCTGTTTCAATGCAATCAGGGACTGTGGCATGACATTAACAAAGTCTCCTCCTGCTTCTCATTAGCCCCCCACCCAAACCTGATCGTCTGCATTCAGAAGTACATTGTTCAATAAGTGCTCTCTGATTTAACCTTCCTTTCCCTCGCCCTCAGGCCTCTCTATTGGACCTGAAGGAGCACGCCTCGTCCCTGGCCTCCTCTGGACTGAAGAAGGACTCCAAGCTGAAGAGTCTCGAAATCGCTCTTGAGCAGAAGAAAGAGGAATGCACCAAATTTGATAGTCAACTCAAGAAGGTGAGCCAAACACTTGGAGGGAATTGAAGCATCACAGCTAGCAAATACACCGGGTCATCAGCTAAGCAGCCGAGAACGCATAACAAGCCATTACGGAGACTGGCACGCCTTTAGCACTAAGCTGACAACACTTAATACATTGACAGTGAACTGAATGTTCACTCAAGTGTACTTTACCTGTGGAGTTTTTCTCTGTCGAGTGCTGGGGGGGGCGGGGGGGAAGATATTAGCTCTGCTCCAGACCCGAGCGAGACTACGGTCAACATAGGCCACTACCTTCAACGACAGCATCCTAAATGAATCAGAATCTAATACTTGACTCATTTATTATGTTATGTTAATTATGTTAACAGGCACTCAAATGCAAGTGAGAAAAGATACTCAACAATCGCTTAAAGTTCATTCCAATAGAGTCTGATCAAATATTATAGATATACAAAGACAGTGCACTCAAATACTTATGAATGGGAGAAAGTGCATTGCACAATATAGCAGAATAAATCCTGCCTTTTTAATAGAAGATATGTGCTTTTTAACATCATCTGAGCATAAGAAACAGCATTTATGGGATCGTTCATGTCACATTTTGTTGCTAAATTGAAATATGTTATTTAATTGCGAGTGTGGAAAGCAGATTTTGAAATGTCAGGATTTCCTTAATCAAATACATAGGTCTTGGTCTTGGATGCCTGAAATAGATGGCCATCAGGTGAACAGACTTTCCCTGAAAGGGACTTTGGTTTGATATTAGCATTTTGCTATTCTAGTAAGCACAGCACTTACACATATTGTGTGAATTAGTCTAGTTTCATGTAGAAATAACTGTTTTTCTATCAGTGTTTTAAAGTACTGAATGAAATAAGATTACTTATAGTACATTTACATATTGAGGGTTTTAATTTAGCTTAGGGAATTAGCAATTCAAGAAAACTTTTTAGAGCATCTATGAAACCTAAAAATGACAGCTCTCTTGGTTTTGGAACGGAGCTATTTAATGAATTTCATATCTTATGGCTCCTGCACACTACAGAAATCTCTGATGGAACAGGTTGGAACATTAGATTAAGATTTAGAACATAAGATTTGATTTAAGGTTGTGAAAACTTTTCTGAACTTTTGGTCACATCGCGCAATGTAAACTCTAGCATGCAGGTGCTCTTATGCCTCACTTCTGTGACTCGTGTCATGGAAAATGCTATACATGTTCCCAATTAGGGCTGCACGATATTCGAAAAAACTAACATTGCAATATTTATATATATATAATGGATATGTATAGTTGTGATAAAAGCTGAAAAAATCACTTTTTACTCTTCACAAGAATCAACTCAAACTTTTATTTAATGTCATTATTATGGAATCAAAATATAAAATCGTATTGTACTGTTAAAATATTTAATAAAATTAAATAAAAAATAATTAGATTTTATAGTACACTGTAAAAATACAATGTTAACGTCTTAATTTCTAAATGTTTAAATATTTTTTTTGGCACATTGTCAACAAATAAGTGTTCACACTGCTTGTTTTAGAGTGAAGCGTGGCACTGTGTTCATTTACACGTTTTCCGCTCATGATACAGTGTTTTTCAGAGTGGCTTGATTCACAGTAAATGAACTGAGCTTCTTTAAGATGCTGAAAAACATAATGAGCTGCTTGCATGTACTGTAAATGAACAGTGTAGCGCTTCAGCCATAAACAATATCAGTTTCATTTTGATATATCGTGCATCCCTATTCCCAATCATCTCAAGTCTCTTCTTTTTGTAGCTCATGCTACTTCAAACCGCCATAAGTGATGTTCTGACACCGCTTGATACTCCCAACCATGTCTGTGACTTCTCTTCACCATCTGTTTTCACACTCCTCTAATTCTGTCTTTCTCGTCTTCTTTCCTCATCCTGCCTCTTTGTTGTCTTCGTTGTCTCCTGATATTTAACCAGATCAAATATTTCTCATATTTCGTCATTACTTTATCACCCGATTCTGTTTTCTTCCCCAACTCCTCTGTGTTTTTCTTTCTTTCTTTCTGAAAGCGCTCTGAGCTCATGTCAGGCCATCCCTTCAATCTTGTAAGTGCATCTCGGTGTGAAAAGCCTCCCTTAGCAGTGCCAGCCTATGTGTGTGTGTTACTAATAAATGTGTGAGAGGAGCTTTGCTTGCATGAGCTCGAGGCTTATCTCAAGTTTAGTTTTGTGTGTATGTGAGATAGAGAGGATATGCTGGCGGAGTCTCTTGAGTGTTCTGAGATTTGCTTGCATGAGATCTTTCCTTATCTAAAGCTTGAGAGTGATGATCTTGTGTGGTTTGACGTTGCTCCTCAGCGGAGCTTGGATTTAGTGGCGTGTTTGTAAGCTGATATGTGTCGCATTGAGCTGTGTCAGTATGGTGTGCACGTGCCTTTACAGATGCTACACTTTTAAAGTGCCCAATCTTAGTTTTTAGTTAGGATAGTTTTATTAAACTTCCCTTCAAAAATCAAATTGTCATTATTTGCTCACTATCTTGTCATTCCAGATCAGTATGATGATTTGTATTTATTTATTTATTTTATTTATCCATTTATTTTTTGGGTTATGGAACATGGACAGTCAACCATTTTTGACCATTTGTTGATGATGATGATATTATTATTATTATTATTATTACCACTTTTAATAATAAACTAAAATTAAAAACAGAAAACTATTTTTATTACTTAAAAGTGGTACAAATGAAGTTTTTTAAATGATGATTTCATTTATTAAGGGAAAAAAGCTGTCCAAACCTGCCTGGCCCTATGTGAAAAATTAATTGCCCCCTAAATCTACTAACTGGTTGTGCCACGCTTTGCAGCAACAACTGCAACCAAGCGTTTGCGATAACTGGCAATGAGTCTTTCACATTGCTGTGGAGGAATTTTGGCTAGCTCTTCTTTGCAGAATTGTTTTAATTCAGCCACATTGGAGGGTTTTCAAGCATGAATGGACTGTAGCCACATTGGAGGGTTTTTGAGCATGAATGGACTGTTTAAGGTCATGCCACAGCATCTCAATCGGATTTAAGTCTGGACTTTGACTTGGCCGCTCCAAAACCTTGATTTTGTTTTTCTTGAGCCATTCAGAGGTGGACTTGCTGGCATGTTTGGGATCATTGTCCTGCTGCATAACCCAAGTGCGCTTTGAGATCGAGGTCACAAACTGATGGCCGGACATTCTCCTTCAGGATTTTCTGATAGAGTGCATGGTTCCATCAATTATGGCAAGTCGTCGTGGTCCTGAAGCTGCAAAGCAGCCCCAGAGCATCATACTACCACCACCATGTTTGACTGTTGCTATGATGTTCTTTTTATGAAATGCTGTGTTGGTTTTACGCCAGATGTAACGGGACACACACCTTCCAAAAAGTTAAACTTTTGTCTCAAACACTGACCTTAATTGAGGCAAGTGAGGCCTGCAGTTCTTTAGATGTTGTTCTTGGTTCTTTATGACCTCCTGGATGAGTCGTCGATGTGCTCTTGGAGTAATTTCGGTACGCCGGCCACTCATGGGAAGGTTCACCACTGTTCCAAGTTTTCTCCATTTGTGGATAATGGCTCTAAACCGTGGTTCACTGGAGTCCCAAAGCCTTAGAAATGGCTTTATAACTCTTTCCAGACTGATATGTGTCAACTATTTTGTTTCTCATCTGTTCGTGAATTTCTTTGGATCGCGGCATGATGTGTTGCTCTTTAAGCATGCTTCACTTTGTCAGACAGGTTCTGTTGAAGTGATTTCTTGATTCAACAGGTCTGGCAGTAATCAGGTCTGGGCGTGGCTATTGAAATTTAACTCAGCTTTCTGAAATAATGTGGTTAATCACAGTTCTTTCATGATTTAACAGGAGGGGGCAATTCATTTTTCACGTAGGGCCAGGCAGGTTTGGACAGCTTTTTTCCCTTAATAAATTAAATCATCATTTAAAAACTGCATTTTGTATTTACTTTCATTATCTTTGTGTAATATTAAAATTTGTTCGATGATCTGAATCTTTTAAGTGTGACAAATATGCAAAAAATTAAAAAAACAGGAAGGGGGCAAAAACCTTTTCACGGCACTGTATATATATATATATTTCCTAAAGCCCAAAGATGAATCTGTAATGGCATTTGGTGTCATTTACATCTTGGTGTTAAAAGTAGAAGATTATCAGCTTTTCAATTAATTAAAACTTAAATTCAGTCTGCCCTTATTTCACAAGTCTTGAAATACAGTGCATGTGTCATATAGACCACTTTAATGGTGCTTTTATAATGTTTTTTTATAGTGTTTTTGTGCATTTTGAAGCTTGACAGTCTGTCTTTTTGTTTGTGGGAAAGAGCAGCGTAAACACTCTTCAGAATTTCTCATTTTGAGTTTCACAGAGCAAAGAAAGTCGAAGAAGTTTGGGACAACATGACTGAGTAAATGATGACAGCTTGAATTAAATGATTCCTTTAAATATTCATACATTTATGTGGTCATAGTCTGTGTGCTTCTGTGTATGTAGGCGATTGTGCTTGTTAGTTTTTTCAGACTGCAATGAAATCTGTGCAAGTACGTTTTGTTCTGCATGGTGATTCTGAGCTCTCGTATGAACCGGTCACCTTCGTACGCACATTCAGAGCTCTTCGCGTGGCTCGATGAGAAGATCTGGGTCCCATCGTCCGTTCCAAGAGTAATGAAATCTCTGGCAGCGTGTGTGGATCTGTGTTCGCACAGGGTCTCATATAAAAGCAGTGCAAGTGAAAACCCGCTGACAGCTCGGTGGGCGTCTGCTGTGATTGGATGAGACAGAAAGGGGGCGGAGGACTCAATTGTCCCCGCGTGACCGGCAGGAGTGTATGAAGATGGAGGTGTCAGCGCGGCTCACGAAATGAGAACAGACATGCCACCAGAACATCCAACGGTCTACATTACTCAAACCAGCCAAGAGTCCAGTGCACTTCAACTCAAATACTTCATATGGAGGCACATCAAAACTCTCTTTTATATCCCCTGCTGCGCACACATGCACTTTTATATCATTCAACACCAAGACGTTTTCTCGCAAGAACATTTATAGGTCAAGAAAGTCAGCATAAATGCATATAAACACTGCAAATGTGTGCTGTTTTCACACAGTGAAACTTTCTTTTATTTTGCCCAGCCAAACAGTCACAGGCACAAACACATTATTAAACAACATTATTAAACCGCATTTCCCACAATCCCCTGTTTGGTGCTGAGACACTGGTTGTTCCTTTGAAAGATGGTGCCGTATTTATTGACCACTCTGGCTTTCCAATACCAACAAGCTTCATGGAGCTTACAAGCAGACACCCGTTAATAACTGTACAAATGCTAGTTTCCTACACAGTCTCTGTCACTTTTTTTTTTTTGGTCTTTTTTTCTGTTTTTCAAAGTACACACCTGTGTCCGTATTGTGAACGGGTTTGTCAGTGGTCCTGAACACATGCTTTTCTTATGTGATCAGATGACTAATCATGTGGCAGGTTCCAAGAATACGGTGCACTTTGCTTTAAACACATCAATATATATATTGATATATATATATCAATATATATATCTCTGCTTTAATTGTTAGATATAGGATGGATGCACCTACCAATAAAAATTGTCACTATTTTGACATTTAATGTACTAAAAGTAAATAATCTATTGTCACATTTTTACACACTTTTTTTGATGTTGTGTGCATTTGTCAAACTTTACCATTCCAAGTTATTTTAAGGTGAAAATTATATATATTTTTTCTTTAATTTGTGGAAAATCTAGGTCTGTCAAACCAGCATTACCAGTTATTTTATTTTATTTTATTTTCATATTTAATCAATAGAAAATAACAGTTACAGGATTTAATTTTTTTTCCTTCTTGTTATTAAACATTTTTAATAACAAAATTTTAGTAACCGGGTTGGAAACAATTGTAAACCTCCATTTACTGAAAATTAATAGAAAATAAACAGCTCAAATTATATTTAATTTTTAGTTGTATATTTTTGTTACCATTTTCTGACAGTTAAGCACCTCCTTTCACCGACTAATGGTTGAAAAAGAAAATAAATAATTACATCATTTACATCATTTTAACGTTGTAGACCCTATTCATGGAAAGTGCTTTGTACAGACAGATTTGTTTTTGCTCCGCCCTCTTTCTGACACATTCTTGATGCTAATTGCACATTAAATGCGTGTATCGTGTGTTTTCGTATACAAACTTTCATTTCTTTGCCAGATGTAGCCTTTTACATGCACTCGTATGCACCAGCTGGTCCGTCCACAGATGACAAACTCTTGGCGGTCAGAGTGGAAACCTACTCAACCTCAGGCTGAGACTTTAATAAAGCTAATTAGCGGGGCCTAAACGTCACCTTCAAATATTATCCTCAATAAACCAGAACAGTCCTCTTTCACACAGTCCCAGTCTGAAGAGACCTTGGATGCCCGACTCTTTGCTGTATTTTTTATACCAGCACTGCAGAAGGTTTCTAGTGAGGAAAACGGTTTTTTAATCACTTTTCATGCCTGGTTAGTTTTGTAACCATATTTTGGATACATTCAAGCTCTCTTTGAATGTCCTCTGCATTCAGACGTGGTTTGCACACATTTATGTGCTTGTAGTCATGGTGTAAATGACAGTGCGCCTGTGTCCTCACCTCGTAAAGCCTGCACTGTGTTTGTGTTTTCACAGCAGTATTTTTGCAGCAGGAAGACACCTGTGTCCTTTTAGAGGATTTTTATGAAAGAAACATTACAGCTGACTCCTTTAATTGTCCAGGAGAATTAACTGATTTACTTTTCATTTGAGGAGGCCCTTGACCCGGCACTTTAGATGGCTGTAATGTCACTAATTATTTTGATGACTTCAGCATGATTGTGTTTCCATGTGTCCCTGCAATGAGAGCGTATCCTGTTGTGATGTCATGGGGGAGTTTGAGATGTCTGAGATCTCGAAACAGCCCACAGACACACACATACATACCCATGACAGTGGTCTGACCGCTGACAGGTTGTCTATGGAGGGCTGAAGAAAATGTAATTTTGTAATTTTTATTTATTTTTTTCATTATTTTTTTTTCATTTCATTTCATTTTTTATTGTATTTTATTTTATTTATTTTTTTGTATTATTTTATTTTAATTTTATTATTTTATTTTATTTTAAAATTTTTATCATCTTTATTATTATCATCTCAATTGATGAATTCATTTAAATTTATGAATGTATTATTTTAATTTATAATTATATTATTTTACATTTTGAAAAATCCAGACTTTGTTGTGGTTGCCCCCTGAGACTCTATGTTTGACCCCTACAGGCTCAGTCTGTCGCGGTTGAGACTCAGGCAAATGCAGGACTGTCGGAGCGCATTGCCACACTCGAGCAGGAGGTGGCGCATTACAAGGAGGATGCTGGAAAGGCACAGGCCGAGGTGGACCGGCTCCTGGAAATCCTCCGAGAGATGGAGAATGAGAAGAACGACAAGGATTGCAAGATCAGCGAGCTGGAGAGGTACACAAACACACACGTTTATTCTTAATGAAGACTACTGAATACTGTAGACTTCTTTTATGTAGTTACTACTGACTAATCTAAACCCGTCATTTATGAATGTGTTTTCCTACTGATGATGTCTGCAAAAGGAAGGTTCTTCTGTCAGATTAAGGTCACTTTTGGGGTTAAAACCCCCAAATGACCAGATACTTGCAACCTCTTACTCTGTTTGTGCCTATTTTACCATGTTTGTTGCTACGCATGTGATCTTCAGTTCCATGTTCAGTTTATCTTTTATTTAGCCCAATATTTTTACATTTTTAATTTATGCAACTTCCACAATTTATTTTCCGTTCTCCATCTGCCATAAAGCTTTTTTATTTCTGTGTTTCCACTGCAGGATTCATGATTGCCTGCTGAAATAAAGGCAACAATACCAGCCTTTCTACAGTGCCAGTAAAAATTTCTCTTGTACTGAGTATTGCAACAACCCTAGTGTACATGTACCTATTTCTATATCGCTACTAACAGATAAGTCACCACTTCAGTCCAAAATAGTGCACTTGTTTCTTTGGTTTGTATCTGAGTCCACAAGATCGTGGAGTGTCCCATTTGTCATTGTATAGTTCAATTGGGTGCACATAAGTGGCCAGTATGTCTCCTCAACGGTTTTAGTTTTGGAGAACTGCTTAGGGCTAAAAGAGCTGTTTGGGGTAAGAACGAAGATGATGGTGCCTTCTGTTTGTGTTCTTTGATGGCTGCCGTTCTCACCCACTCAGTCATCTCTTATCCTCCATTTATTTAGGTGTTAGACCAGAAATGAGTTGTGTAACTTTGGAGGGCAACTTCAGCGCTTATCCCAAAGCGTTATGGGATGCTGGCATTGTCATTGAGCATGTCTGGTAGATTCATTGCAAGCATAGATTTAGTTGTAATCTCCAACACATTGCTCTAATTCCAAAGTATGTTCTGTGTCCATAGACGTGGAGAATTGAGTTTCAAAGAGCACCACCTTTATAGATTGCGCACCTTCAACTGCATGTCTGCCCCTCCCAGAGCATTTTTCTGGATATTTTGCACTTTATGTCCATGATGTAAACGCCTATGTTTTCGGCCTGTTTAATTGGACTAATTATTGGAAGGCAAATATAGACCTTCTCCCATCTTGGCTTTCATAAATAAATAAAGGAGATGAATAATTGAAATAGGGCTTGGGTGTAAACAGATGAGAATATGAGGGAGAGTCTGGCCTGGTGGTGAAGAGTCGTAGAGGTCACGGATGTTGATGTTGTGCATTGACAGTCGTGTACTACTCCTTTTCACCCTTCGTCAGGCCTTTCAAAGCTGCGGTTGGAGCCCTGACAGGGACATTTATTTGCTCGAAGGCCGTTGATTTCTGTTGATTCATAAATATTCATCTGACTTGCATTGAATGTCTCACACTTTCTTAACAGAGCTGTGTTAGGAGAGGATTAGGGCTGCGGTTGGAGCCCTGACAGGGACATTTATTTGCTCGAAGGCCATTGATTTCTGTTGATTCATAAATATTCATCTGACTTGCATTGAATGTCTCACACTTTCTTAACAGAGCTGTGTTAGGAGAGGATTAGGTTAAAACAAACTCCATATGCTTGGCTCGATGCATCATTCATGTCAACCGAGAGAAGATTTCTGAAATAAACACCAGCCACAATCGTTAACCGTGGCGCTCCGAGCTAATTACCGCTCCGAGTCGAGTTATGTTCTCGAAACACACCAGGGAGTTCGGTTCTCAAAAACCTCCAATTGTTCTCTCTGTGTTGTAGTTTTCTGGCACTCTGGAGTTTGATTCTTAATGTGGTTGTGACGGAGAGTTATTCAGACAGATCCTCTTCTGTTAGCGCCTGCGTCTTTAATCAAGACGTGAGTGGCAGGTAGAAGCGATACGTTGTGTTCAGAGTGAGTCAGGATTACCTTTCTCACTCGGAGATGGAGAAGCCAAAGCTCCTCTTGTTGCAGATCAGTGGTGCGGAGGCAGGCCTTGTTCGAAAATGCCTTCAAAGTCACAGAAAAATGGCAGAGGTTGAATTGGGGCATTGGGGTATTTATTTCATGCATTCAGCAGCGGTAAATTTGCAGGTAATTATTGAGGATTGTAAGGCTCACTGTTTGAGAGGGAGCTAAAAGGGTGAGCTAGAATAAATTTGTGGCAAAGAAACAGAGGTAAAACAAATGAAAAAAGCACAACAGAAGCACTATTTGTAAGGATAGTGAAGCTGAGTCTCTATATAACTTTCATTTGAGTTTTGGGTAAGAAGCAGTCCATGCTAGTATGGAAATGTAAAATTTACTATAAATGTAACATTAATTCAGCACATTTTTATTATTTTAATGTCGAAACATAAGCAGTACAGAACAGAACAGAATGTCTAAAGTGTCACCCAACATAGTATCTTTCTTAATAAAATAAATATTAATACTACTACTACTAATAATAATAATACTTATTATTATTATATAAAATATATAAAAATTAACGAATAAACAAAATTATATAAATTACATTATATATTTTATATATATAATATATATATATATATATATATATATAAATGGATGGATACTTTTATTATGCTATAATTTATATATATATATATACACAATGTATATGATGAATGGAGTCTAGCTAGTCTAGTTTTTAAATAAAACTGGCTTTGTACACTGTATATTGTGATGAATTGCTAATGTTCCTCTAATTTTTAATTACATTATTATTATTATTATTTCATTTTTAAAGCCCCTTTTATACATTTGGGCTTTTCTCATTTTCTCTGCAAATTTTGTTAGGTTAATTGTAAATAAATGGTACAATTAATCTGCATAATCATATAATCAATTTTGAATCTATTCACAGCCTTACTAAAGATGCATCTGTTTTTTTTCTTTGTAGCCTGTGAGATTGCATGTCACATTGTCAGGTTCTGCCATCATCTCTCATTTAATTTTTCCTTTCACTGTTCATTTATCAGTAAGTCTACATGCAAAGGCTCATGCACTGTTTACTCTTTTTGTCTTGCCCAGCTTTCCAAGTTAACCCATCTCACTCTGTGTGTATTTTCACCTCAACTGTATTTCTCTCTTTCTTCCTCTGCATTTCTTTTCACTGGAATGCTGTCTACTTCCCAGTCTGCTTTCAAGGTCAGTATGCCTACTTTCCTCGCCTGCACTTCCTTTCCACTGCAAATCAACTTCTTTAGGTTGTAACACACAAACTATACGCTGCTTTACCAGGGCCTGCTCTGTAAATCATTTTAAGGATGGTTCAAATGATATGGGACCTGTGTTTTTGAGGGGCCAGTTGGGGGAAAACTGTATCCGCTAGGCTAGACAGGAGGAAAATAATTCAGCGGTTGATTGTAGTGCCCTTGGGCGATGCACTTAACCCCAATTTGCTCTTGTTGCCTCCATCACTCCCCTTGGACTTGCTTCTAAAGATTCTATGGAAAAAAAGAGAAATTGCTCTGACCTGAATTGATTAAAGGTTCAAAAGGAGGAATGAGGAAACCTGGGAAGGTCAAGTAGGCGCTACAAGCTTGTCTTATTAATGCATGCTAGCTTACCTGTGAGGTCTGTTGAGATGGAGTTCAGAAGAAGAAAAGAAGGACTCGCCAGAGCTTCTGCTGTATGCGGATGACAGAAAGAAAGGATGTGGGAAAAGAATGTGGGAGAGCCCTTGCAGAACTTCTAATTGGAGCGTAAAGAATCTCCATCAGTCATTTTCTCCCCAGCAGTGTTGAAAAGCTTACCTCTTCTGCCAGCACACCGTCGATACGGACCCGTCCCACTACAGCCGGGATCTCAGCGCTTGGCTTGTTTACCGCAGTTATTGTTTGCATCTCTTTTTAGTTTGGTCTGGAACAGAGACTTGTCAAGCTGTTTTATTTTTTCCGCTCTTGTTACTCCACTAGAAAACAAGCCGAATGTTACGGGAGCGCTTGACAGAACTGTCATTCTCTCTCTCGATCTCTTCCTCGCTCATGCTTCTTCTCCTCCTCTTTGTTTTTTTGTTTATTCTCTGGAACTCAGCAACACAACAAACAGGGCCGATTTGATATCTCCCCCAGATGAAGGGGTGCGGCGTAATGAAAAGGAATCCATGTCATTCTGAAATGAATTTTCCCCAGTGTTACGCATTTGCTGCTGAGCTCCAAGGCCTCTTGATTTAGTCTGCAAATGCTTGACAATAAATGTGATGTGCATCATTCCCTGAAGTATGAATGCTTCCTGTCGTTTTCTGTTTATTTTTATTATTGCTTTTTACAGTACTTTTTACAAATATTTTTACAATATTTTAATTATTTTTTCTTTAGTATTTTATGAGCTTTAGATTAGCATACATTGTTATTTTAGAAATATTTAATATATAGTGTCTTTGTAATATGTAGTAACATATTTCATAATATATTTTGTCATTCCTCCCTCTGTTTTTCCTCTCTCTTCCACATTCTCTGTTTGTGTAATTTAAGTTACCGTTACTCATTCTGGAGAGGTAGAAGGCTGTATTTCTGGGTTTTGTCTCATTATTGCGAGAGGCCGCTCTACTGTGCTGGTCTGCTGCTGTCGGTTCCTCCGGCAGGTGAAGGCCACAATCCCGCACAGACAGGGAGGTCTGCTTCTCTGGGCCTGTCGATGAGTGCATACGATCCGGCTAGCTCGTGGAACACCTCCGCCTGTCTGTTGTCTCTGTGTACTTTCCAGCTAGCTTTGGCTGTCCCGGCCTCAGGGCCGACCGCATGATTAACTATATTAGTCAAGGGCCGGAGGGAATTGTCCTCTCCGCACAGGACGGTACGTAACAGACGCGGGGACACCCTGTCATGCACCTGGCCACAAAACGTTCTCAGAAGCCAAAGTCTATTAGGCTCGAAAAGTTTGCACTCACCACAGACAGAACTGTGAATATGAACCCCGCTATCAAGCAACGGCTCTTGCCAGCTCTGCTCCACCTGCTGCTAGAGAAATGGCCACAGTCTGCGAAGAACCCACATTTCCTGTCTTTTATTAGTCCTGAGCTCACGAACATGTCCTGAACGCCAGGAAGGAGATATCCGGCCAATATAAAGACACAATTGACATTAAAGGATGACTTCGAGAGAGATGAGGGATGAAGTAAACACAGACTCTCAAACAGTCTTTGATGGCGTTCCACTCCGTTCTGTGCCGGTCAGACAGGTTGGGGTTGCGATAAACAGAAAGGTTTTTGTCCTTACTCAACCTTTTTGCTATTTATCCCATCCTGGACCGTTAGTGTGGGCACACTTATGTTCAATTCTGTCAGCACAAAAGAAAAAGAAAAATGGCATTAAAAAGTGGGCCCAAAATGCTTGGATGAAAACGCTGCATGGTAACCATCTCCAGCCTTTTGCGTTGCGTCAGCCCGCTCATAAACGCACGTTGGCTCCGGAACATAAGACGCCTTTCTGTTTCCTACCCAGAATTCCTCCTAACGGCGTGATGGATTTATTTCTTCAACATCGATTTCCTTGTGTAATCATCTCCAAATCGCACCCAATTTTACCATTGGGTCTTTTTTTATGTTATTAAGTGTCAGGTGCGATTGAACTTTGGAATAACATTTGCTTTAATGCCCGCCGGGCCTCATTTCTCCAGTTAAGTGACCGCAGAACGTAATGGTTTAGAAATGTAGGTTCATATTATTTTGAGGAAATGTTGAAAGAGCGAACATTTTATAAGGAGTCATTTTGAGGGCTTGTGCATTTTGGGTTGCTTTGTTTTTCTAGCTCGACCTTGCAGTGGTGGCCATTCAACAGCGTTTGCTTTTGCCTCATCATGGCTTTGGATGTCAGCAAGGACTTGTCCTTCCCTAGGGCGTAATTTGGCCGTGTGAGAAGGACTTTTTTTTTTTGTGTGTTTTGAGAGGTGTTTACTAGATGCATGTTTCAAAGACTTCATTATGCAGAAGTTTAGAACATCTTTATAGCCGAAATTTAGCAAACTTTCTGATGTTTGCTCACACACTTCAGCCGATATCTTGAGAATTTCAAAGTGCTTTCGTTTCGAGCCTTACCCTGTAAACATTGCCTGGAGCTGTTTTGTAAATGAATTATTGATTTTAAGATCTGGACCAAAATAATGAATTACTATTTTTGATCATATTCCAGGGTTTGAGCTCTGAATGAAAGAAAATAAGATTCATTAAAAAGCATTAGGTTAGACTGGAGTGTAGATCTTTCTCTAAAGCGCACTCTTCTGAACGCATTTTCACCTGTGTCCAAGCGTGTGTGTTTTGTTTGGATTTATATGTTACGTTTTGATGTATAATTAGTGTGTTTTTCCTCTAGACAACCTCAAAGTTGTGCTGAAAGATTATTTTCTTTCTCTCCCACCCTGTCATAGACCTATTTACCTGTTTTTCATTTTTTCCACTCATGTTCATGTTGCTTCTCTCATTGGTTGAAGGCACATTGGCACACAAATATAGTACAGTTTTCCTAGTATTGATAATATGGCTGCTAATACAACATAAAGCTCAGTACAGAGAGGAGGAAGATGACAGGGTTGCGTATGGGATCCAGAGTTTTATTTAGAGGAAAGGAAAATGTTGGCACTGGAAAAAATGAAATGAAAGCCTTTAAATGGGGTCTCTGCCCTTGAACACATGTGTAGCTGTGTTCACTAAACAGAGATGTTTCCATTTAGGTTTGTGTGAACCCAGTGTGTTAGCTTGAGAGTGAGATGTTCTCTTCAAATGTGTCCTGTATTTATTCTTATTTATTTTTTTTTACCATACTTTTCAAAAGGTTTTAAATGTTTTTAAAAGAAATCTCTTAAGCTCACCAAGGCTGCATTCATTTGATCAGTAAAAACAGTAATATTGTGAAATAATATTACTGTTTAAAATAACTGTTATCTGAATATATTTTAAAATTTAATTTATTTCTGTAATGGCAAAGCTGAATTTTCAGCATCATTATTTCAGATTTAAGTGTCACATGCTGCTCAAGAAACATATTCTTTATTATTATCAATGTTAAAAACAAATGTTGTTACTTAATATTTTTCTGTTTCTCAGAATTCTTTGATGAATAGTTCAAAAGAACAGCATTTATTTGACAGAACTCTTTTGTGTCATTATAAATATCTTTACTGTGCCACTTTTGATAAATGCATCCTTTCTGAATAACAGGATTAATTTCTCTCCAATAAATAAATAACTGGCATCAAACTTTTAATATAAAAGTTAAATAAAAAATATATTTTTTTAATTTTTAACTTTTATACACATTTTATGTGTTTTTTTAATGTAAAATGCGTGTAAAAGTTAAATAAAAAATAATTAAAATGTTCACAGGTTTTAGAATTTTTAGATATCCTAAGTGATGACCCGAAATTCAAATTAATGTAGACATTAATATTGTTAGATTTTATAAATAAGAATAATTGCAATCTAGGTGATTAGGTTAAAGCATTTACATGATCATTTCATCTTCTGAATATTCCTTTTCATGTAAATGCAGTTGGGTGTTTGTGTTGTGTAGTTCATTGTTTCACTGTTACACTGATAAATGTAAAGCAGAATATATTTTGGGCCCATTTAAGGAATCTTTGAAATCAATATTTGACTTAATCTGACAGGATGTGCTAGATTAGAGTGCCATCATAGCCATAGTGGAGCTCACTGGAAATATTGGCATGCATGCTAGTAATATTTGCCTAGAAAAGCCTCCCTGTCAACAAGGTTTACGAATCGCTTTTGTTATACACTGTACCTGCGTTATCCTACGCTTTTATCACAGCATAGCAGAAATACCAGAACTACTGGCGAATTACATCTGAATTAGATGTTGCCGTTCCTCTTTATTGTTGTAGAAGTGTTTCCTCCATGAAGTCTGGGAAATGGGGTTGCCTATCCCATCACATCAGAGCTCAAATGGAGACATATAAACATATAATCAAAACCCTGAATAAAGGGCTGGCGCTCAATGCATAAAAACAGTCAGCTGCTTATTGCAAGTGTAGCGGAGCCATGCAGATGGCTTGGCCTCTTCTGGAAACACCAAATAGGAACATACCAGTATATTTATGACCTGTTACACAAACTCCCCTGAGCACACACACAAAGTCTTTCTTTTTGCTTTGTTATATGGTCGTGTTATCTTGAAGATGGTTTTTTGACAACACAGCACAATTTGTCTGATGTTTCCAGAATGGACTTGAAATTTATTTGCGGTGCTTTTATTAGATTTTTTTAATAGCTATCAAATTAGCAGTGTTGAGGAAACTGCTTTGGAACTGCAACTTGTTAAGATGCTCATAAAATAGTTAAACTACAGCCAAGCTACACTTAGAGCAATAGTAGTGCAGGTTAACTAAAAATAGCTTGTTGAGAAAAAAAAAATCTTTCTGGAAGTATAATTGTCTTAATTCTGCAATTAGACCATTTATCTGGGACAAAACTCCAGAACTAACTAATAAAACTAGGAAATGCGTTTATATAACAGAGCCGAAAACATTGTTTAAATAAATATTTCGGTTTTAAATGAATTGGTGAATCATTTAAATGAATCAATGAATTGTTTGTTTAAATCAGTGAATTGTTTAAATAAATCAGTGAATCGTTTATTTAATCAGTGAATCGTTTATTTACATGAACCATGTGAATGAACTGATTCACCAAATCGAATCCGATTTCCCAATGCAACATTTGAGAGAGAGGACAAAGTTCACTCTGCTGTAAAGCTGCGGGCACAATGATGAAAATGTGATGAAAATAACAGCGATGGAGCCGTTTGTCATGCTACACCTCTGCTGCTATATCCGCACTGTTTTGAAACAGCTGATGTGCTGTGGTCAAGTTAGTAGCATGCTGCTTTTAGTTATTTACACCCTAATGGTGCAACTGAATCAAGGACCTATTGTGTTTTTGTTAGCCTCAAGACCCGATTTCTGGTTGCATTTGCAGAAATGTATAATTCTAACAAATATTGCATACAACAGTGGATTAAATATTAGTAGACTTCACCTCTTCGTCGCCTACACTCTGTCAACACTTCTCGTGATCCTCACATCCAAGGGACACGCGTTCACGTACAGTAAAAGAGAAGAAAAGAAAACCTTGGGAACCTTCTGAAAAGATGGAGAGACGCTCACACCAGTTGCTCCTTCACTAACAGTATGTCACCAGGCTAACCCGATCTCCAAACCTTTGTATGGCAGTTACTAGCAAAGTTTTGTTCTAGTATCTGCAACAGGAGCCAGAAGACTGCGGCTTTCCTCTGGTACTTCCACACAGAGACTCCACTGTGCTCAGGACAGCTCATCCAGAATTACGATCAGGTTCTAGTGGCGCAGCAGCTTGGCCCGTTTTCTCCAAGCCTTGTTCGGCGTCACCTTGCTTCAGCGAACGCACTCTGAAAGCTCCCTCGCTGCTTTTTACTCCAAAGCACCAACCGAAGCACCTTGGTGGAGCACCTTGGTGCCACTTTCCTGGCACACGGAGATGTGGCTTGTCATATCCCATAAGCCCCCATAATAACTCTTCAATTACCTTCCCATATTGTGTGTCTTGGGCAATGCTCTGTGGTATCAAGCGGGGTGCCGAGGGAGGTCTTTCCACAACGCTGTGTTATTACTCATTTAAAGACATTGGTGTTGGCATTGTCAGTGGTACATCTGTTCTCCAGGGCAGAGGTGCAGTTTTTCCCTTTTTCTTTTAATCAAGTCAAGATGGTGAACGGTAACTGATCCCGGCCACCACGCTGCCAGTGGGCAATACACCGACAGCGGCCACGTAAACAGGAAAACTCTCGCGCTCTAACGCTCGTTGGGGCCGGGTGACCGCAGCATCTAGGCCTGTTGGTACGACACTTCTCAGAAATGAAAACGGCTTGAATGCTCTTTTAATTTATTTATTCCTTCCTGTTTGGTAGTGCTTCATGTTCCTGCGGGTTTCCATGCCACAGCAAATGGAGGAGGGAAAAGGATAATGAGAAAAATCCCAGAGCTCAAACACAAACATACTGCCTTTAATTTGCAGCACAGCTTGATCTGTTGAGATCAGTCCTGCTTCCTTTTGTTGTCATTTATAATAAGGTAGACCATTTTTGGATCTTCTCATTGACCCTTCTGTTTGTACTAGACTGCTTATATGTGTGCAAAAGAAGAAAAAAACTCTAAAACACTCTTTGAGGAAGAGATTTTTGAGTCTACTTGTGGCCTGGCAATGTTAGTTGGTATTTCATATTATCTTTTTTGGTTTCACCCATTCCTAATTAAAATATATTGAAATATAGTTGCTTTTTCAAATTTAAATCAATTCCAATTTAAATATATACAGTCAGCCTGTGATTTGATTTCATCAATCATACATAATGCCACATTATTTTTTATTCTATTTTGTTTTATTTTTATTTAACTTAATTTTATATTTTATTTTATTATTTAATTTAGTTTTATTTTGACCCATTCCTATATATACAAAGCTTGGTTTTCAGATTCAAATATACAATAGGCATTTAATCTGATTTCATTAAACGCAATGCAGCATTATAAAATTTTTATTTGATCTTTTTTATTTACATTTTTTTGTTATTCTAAATAGAATAATGCATATTCTATTTTTAAATATGGTATGTGAAACATTATGCCTTATTTCATAATGTGCACAGTATACTTTCTGCAAACCTTTTGGCAATGCTAGTTGCGAAAAAGTTGCTATACCATTAGTTATCAAAGACTTGAACACTCACGTTCCTCTCTCCGCATGTTTCCAGTATCCGTCCACCTCAATGTCCATCTGTGCATGTCTGACTGAAGTCTGTTGGTGTGTCCTTGCAGGCAAATGAAAGACCAAAGCAAGAAGTTTGCCAACCTGAAGCACAAAGAGCAGGTGGAGAAGAACAAGAATGCTCAGTTGATGGAAGAGGCTCGTAAGCGAGAGGATAACATCAACGAGAGTTCTCAACATATCAAGGTAAATCCACATGACGTTTATGTACGTTATTCACAGTTACGTACGGTTCATGAGTCTGTTCCAGATCAGACCTTACTCATGTGATGTTGCCTAATTGAAATGCAGGATGAATCCCTACGCCTTGTAATGGATTTCAGGCAAGCGTTTTACACACATAACCGCTGAAATCTGACGAGAGCAGTGGCTGTTATGGTCTTAACATTGAAACTTAACCCATAATGAGGCCCATCAATCTTTTAAGAGGGTCATAGTCCCCCAAAAACCATGAGTTATTCACAATAGCTCAATCATTTGTGCAGCATTTAAAGGTTTTCCTTTTGCGCTGCCTAGAAATGAGTCTCCTCAGAGCGATCCGTCTTCTGATTATATAAGTTTGGATGTCAGCTCTGGTTCCTCATTTGAGAATTGCTGGGATGTTTCTCAGGTAAAGAGCGAGCTCATGTTTCCCTCATCCAGACCGCATTCACGCACATCCTGACCTCGTGTCCTCCTCTCATTGTGAGCTTTGGATTTTGGGAAAAGATAAAAGGAGAGAATAATTGAACAATTAAATAAGACACAGTTGTTCAGTGCAACCGCAGGAACTATTTTTGAATCTATGGCTCCGTGATATTGAAGCAGCAGTGTCCGTATCCAGGTATCAGCGTATTTAGTTTGAGCCGATTTGCAAATACAAACTACCTCATCTAGGCTGATGCAACTTTCATCATATTGACTATTTTTGCCCCGATTTGACAAGACGGTGGTCTTTGGTGGTCGTTCCCGCCCTTCTGGAGTGAGGGTTCGAATAGAAAGCCAGAATCAGCAGCTAATGTCTGTGAGAATCTCAGCACAGAAAGTCCCACTTTTTATGGAGGGGCTGTTTTTCCTCTTTGCCGTAGACCTCTAGACAGCAATGCCACAGCAGCCCTCCCTTTGTTGTGGTTTTCGGTGTTATTCCTGGCCGTCGGTTTGTTCTTTCGATCATTCTCCGTTTTCACATTTTCCTTGTTCTGTGTCATGTGTTCTTTGTTTTCGTTCGAGTTCATATGCTCTTTTTCTGACAGCAGGATTGATGTGCTGTTGGACTTCGACCTGTGGTACCCGGCAACTGGTGCGTCAGTGTGTGCGTGCGCACAAGTACGTGTTGCGGTCAAAGAGAGCTCATTTATGACTTCAGGGCCCCAGCTTCCTCCGTGGGGTCACATTGCCACGAGCCCACATGTGGCTTGCACTCGAAGCACCCTGATGCGGCTGCATCGAGGGCCTCGTCTGGAAGCGGCAACAGCTGCTTCCTTCAGCCAAGACCATCAACCACCACCTTCCCCACAGGCATGTCACGATCCGGCCTTGAGGCCCTGAGACTCCAGATCAGGCGAACCCCGAGCTGATCTCCACACGCTATTGGACGCGTCAGGCGTGTTTGGAAGGGAAACCAATTGTTGTATGGTTACGGTGGTCCCGCACCAATCTGTTGGTCAGGGTGAGCTGAGAGAGAGGTTAGTCCAGGACACCAGAGCGATCCTCTCTCTCTCTCGCTCTCTCTCTCTGACCCGGTGCTAAAAATGGCTTTTTCAATCAATTAAGAAGGTTTCCATTGGAGCCCAGAGGTGGGATGTGGGGTGGTCGGTTGTGGTTGAGCACCAGAGCTGCACAAACACATTCAGAATAGCAACTGTTGACATTGGAGAAGGTTAGATGGTCAGAAAGGAAGGACTCTCGCTTCTATTTTTTGATTTTCCTGCTGGTGGCGTTGTGCTGCTTCCACATGATTTGATCCAATCATTCTTCTAATTAGTGGTGCTTTCTTAGGCTAGCATCATTGTAACATCGAACAAACCCGTAGACCTTATTATTAAACTTTGGTGTGTAATGCATGCTATTGACATGATTCATACCTCAAATTGTGCTTGAGTTGAATTGGCCTTAACACACAGGAAGTTGAACTGAAATTGGAATGGCAGGAAGTGGAAATTACCAAATTGCAATTCAAAGAAATACAACGCAGGTAATGTATTCTGGGAAATGAAGTGGTGTTCAGCAAATCTGTTTGTCTGTAAGTCCTATAAAACCTTCAAACTTCAATGCTTAAAAACTAAAAACGGACCAACTTTCATTCTAACATTTCTTAAAAATTGTTACATTTTTTTTAACAATACATATTAGGGTTATATGAAATTGAGAATTTAAATTCAGTTGGTTCCTACTACAAATTCAACTCTTTTTCCTTTTTGCAATCTCTTTTGAAATGTAATGAAAGTTTCATGCTGAATATGAAAATCACATTACCTTTTGTGCATCATTAACAATGCTTATGAAAACTTAAAAAATATGTTGACAACTTATACAAGCTAATCTGTTATTACTCATGCATAAAAATTACATGGTACATGCAGAATACTGAGCTAACAACAACAGTTTAACAGAAACAGTTACCAAAAGTGAGTTGTCCAAAACTTCAGAAGTCTATGTTGGATGATTTTTGTCTTTTATGACTAGTCCCACAATGTTCTGGAATGTTCCAGAAATCACTAGAAAAAAACATTCAAAATTAGTACAAAACCCATCCGTACTAAACCAGTGTTTCATAATTAATGATAAATTCTAAAATTAACCTGACCGAATTATTTACCAAAATATTGAAGCTACATGAAAATAAATAGTATAATAATAATTAGCACCACAGAATTACAGAAGAACCATCAAAAAAAGTTAAAGTGATTTTTTTGTTACATTGTGAAATCATTTTGAATTCATTTCTGGATTGCTCATTGGTACTGTAACTAACCCCAACCCTAACCTTGGGTGACTACTAACAAAAAACCCTAGAAACCACTTACAGTATACACCAGATAGCAACATGCTATTTACTTGGAAGTGACTTTTTGATGGGAAAGAATCAAAATGTCAATGTCTGGTTAATTAAGTTTAGCTGTTAGTTTCCATAGGATGAGCAAATGGGGCGCATATGCTGCAGAGAATTGCAATGCAAGAGAGGGTCTTTAATCAATGACCCTCAAGAGCGTGACTTTATCCTCTTCTGAGTCATCCCTATCCTTTTTCATTTATCTCTCTAGCCTGATAAAACTGGAGATGGGTTTTTATAGGCGTCCACATCTCTTCAAGCCGTGCCGGCACATCTCCACACACACACACTCCTCCCGCCAATCAAATATCATCAGCCTGAAGAAATCAAGACTTTCGCTGGGAAGCAGGATGGAGTAAGACAGTGGGGGAGAAAAGATGACATTATAATGAAGCCCAGTAAATACCTGTTTTACTGCGTGGTTGAGTCTGTTCTCTTTTAGTGCACCGTCTTACTGATTGCAGCGCCAAATGCTCTGACTCCCAGCATGCCCTGTGACCAGAAGAATCCCAATCTCCACCTTGATCGGCCTTCACCAAAGAAAGATTCGACGGAAAAATTGAAAGAGAGAGTTGGAAAGAAAATAAAAAAGTAAAAGAATGGAAAGGTACATCCAGTCAATATGCTTCACCTCAGAAAGGGTGAACATATTCCGCCACATAGTTTGTGCAATCATCAAAGCAAGCTCAGAAAAGGGTTTCCCCCACAGGTGCAATGTGTGCACTACTCCAGAGAAGCCATTAGACTGACGCCGGAGCGCCGCACATTGCGAATAGCGGTTGTAAGCCATAGGTCTTCTGTTTATAAGTCTCCCAGACCCTTTTATGTTTGGCACAATGTGCTCTCATGTGGTTGTAAACATCAGCACTCAAATGCCGAGAGCTTAGAGTGACACCTTTAGTGTGCAATTGTGGAACAGTATTTTATAACATTTGGCGAGTTAGGGATCATGCTGCTAAGTGCTCTTACAAGCACTGGTGGTCTTTTGTGTTTTGCATGTAAATTTGTGCACGGTTAAGAAAGCCTGAATATACTGTATGCGTACAGTCGGTTGATTTAGTGTCATGATTTTATTTTATTCGTTTTTTTTATTTTCATAGCAGGGGATTCCTAAATGTATGATATAAAAAAAAAATAGATAAAATCTAGAGAAACTAGTCAACCTCAGTAATCAACCATCCTGACCCATCCACATTTCTAATTAGAAATTAGACACATTTATGTGAAGATTTATGTAACAGGTACACATCTGCAATCTTGCAGCTTCTCATTGGTCTTTCTGCTTGTGTTCGCATTTGCAGGCAAATGAAAAGATCTGACAGGTGATGGCGACACACTGGAGTTAATAAACCAAAGTGCTGCAGGCGAATCACAGGTTTATGGTCCTTTTTAAACATGCAGATATAAAAGAGTCAAACAGGAGCCTTTTATGACTCGCTGGCCTGCCGATGCTGCTTTTATTCAGGGGGAACGTATTACTGTCCCTGACGTGGGAGGCCTTTTTTCATCCTAAATGTCATTTTCTCAACCTGCCATAACAGACTGGTTGCAGTGCAACATCCAGGATCAATGAGGAAGCTATAGTTGGCACAGGACAGTTTTAGGAAATATGATTCAGTTCAATGAATGAGCAAACCTGGTTTGCTAGTTTTAGCTGGTGTTTTTATTTTTTGTTTAGGTTTTTTGTTTTGGTTTGTTTTTAATTTTGTTTTGGTTTTTTTGTTTTGGGCTTTTTGTTTCATTTTGAATTTTGTTTTGTTGTTTTGTTTTGTCTTGTTTTGTTTGACTTTTGGCTCTGTTTTTTGTTGTTCTGTTATGTGTTTTGGACACATTAAAATGGGAGACCAGCTTTAACCAGCTAAAAACCAGCAAACCTGGCTGTTTTTTTAGCAGGGAACCGTTATATTTCTTACGAATTGCTTGTGCTTGACCTAACAACAAGTTGTGCGTGTAGAGGAACCATCTTGGGATTAGATGTTACATTACTGTCTCGGACAAATTAGCATTGGCAGCTTCAGGTTTAGGACTTTTTTTGATTTCTTGAGGTCTCTGTGGAATGTTCTCGAATGTTCCAGTCTGTCTTCCAAAACCTCCGAAGACTGACGAGAGATCAGACTTTAGCGGTAACACTGAGCAGAGGTGAAACAAAACTGCG